AAAAGTATAATTATGTCGAACTTTATTTTACAGTCATTAGCTAATTCCTTCCACGCGACAACCTACGGCATCATTACCTCATCACCTTGAAGCGATATCCCTACCATTGTGTCGCAAGCATAGCAATTACGAAACAGCTTTCAGTCACCTTATTTCCTTCATAAACAAATAAACATGGATTTTATTTTTATTCTTGAAGAATTTTATGGATGCGTTCATTTGATGTTTCGACATAAAAGCTTACAGTCCTCGTGTTAATGTATTATCGATGGTGTAAAATCAACTTGCCTTGTCTTCAACATCAGCGCGAAAGATTGTGCAAAGGACTAGGAATGGCTGACTTATAGCTGGGTGCATTTTGACAAAAGTCCATCCAAGAGTAATAAAATTAAGTGTGAATGAAAATGCGAAAAGGGGCATCTGCCGACGAATGATGAAATTTACGAAGCAGTAAAGCTAGATTCATCCATCTTAAACTCAAATGTGAGCCTCTACTCAAATTGTTTGATGTGGTTGTTTAGAAGGGCCATCGGCAAAGAATCTTGTCTTCAATAGTCATTGTTTGTAGACTCGGCCGAAACATGATAGCTCAAAAAAGCAATTTTTTTGTGTAAGTAGTATAGGTAAGAAATTTCCAAAATTCCGTTCTAATTTTCGACCTGCACCCCGCATTGAAGGACTGTTATGGTGAGCACTATCGGAACTCAGTACTGTAAATCTTGTTCTTACGTTCCATTCTTTTAGCGCAAAGGTTTACGCAGTCGCAATCATAAAACCATCATAAAACTGGCCCTTCTAGTTTTTTTTTTAAATGAGGCTTCATGTTTGCTCTAAAAAATGACTATTACCAAAGCAAGTTTTCTCTATAAAAAGCATGAATTTTGACTTCGCACCACATTCTAATTGTTATGCATCATGTAATGCAGCAGATAGTTTCGGCTTCAACTACCATGCAACTTCTCACGTATAACATCTATTAGGTTCATAATTCTTTCACGGAATTAGAGCTTGAGCGACCGTTTCATAGAGCAACGTAAGCTGTACAAGATGACAATCGAAAAATTGCAAAAGGTCAAAAGGACTTACGTGGGGTCACGAAAATGTTGAAGTTTAATTTGAAAACGGGAATTATGCGCATCACACTATATCCTTTGAATAACATATTATGAGAAGTTATGAAACTTATTATTAGAAGAGAAGGAAGAGAATTATCAAGTTTGCATTTTCGAAATGCCAGTATAAAAACTGAGAAGTCGCTTGATGAGGCACAAATAGCATATTTTGTTATAAAGTAAATCAGGGCCCGGCGCGAGATGGTTTCGAAAAATGCAAAAACGAAGTCCCCCTTGATTTTCCCTAGATTTCACGAAGTTCCTTGACCTCAAAAACCATAATTCTAAAGAAGCTCCAAAAAAACGAAATGTCGACAAAAAAACGCCGCGAATTTTCTATCTTTTCGGCCACAAAAAACGAAACTCCTTTTGCTTTTTTCTCCAAAAACGGTATCGGGCTTGTTTTACAAGCCACCTGTGCGCTCATTGTCTGATACACGTGAAGTTTTAAGCCAAATTCAGAAATTTTCAAAGCCCCAGAAATTCGATCTCAGCCCATATAAATTCTATAGAGCTCTTACTTGCTCAGGTAATCAGGTAATCCACACATCAGAAAGTTCCATCTGCCAAATATTTCCATGGCTGAAAATCGAAACACAAATATCGCAAACTAATGTTACTAGGGTTGAAAACTTCTGATTTTTCCAACCGATTTGACTGCTTTTATTTTTGTATGAAAGAGTCGTGCTCTTTATAATGAAACCTTAGCTGCCTGCCAATGGTCAGCTGTTTCAAAGATAGGAGCGATAGAAGAAAATTAGGCAAAATTCGAATTTTCTGTGTAGGGTCATAAAAAGTCGGAAACTTGCAACAAAAATCGGAGCAGTCGGTATCGTAAGTACTTTCACAAGCTCTTTCTAACAGTGCAAAGTTTGCGCCGATTAAGCGTCTCTATGAAAAGTTATGATTTCCCTGAGAAATGCCAAAATAAATCAAATTCGTCCTTTTGTATTGCTTGCAATCGGCGCAAACTTTGAATTGTTAAAAAGAGCTGGTGAAAGAACCTACCATACCGACTGCTCCGATTTTTGTTGCAAGTTTCCAATTTTTTGTGACCCTACACAGAAAATTCGAATTTTGACTAATTTTCTTCTATCGCTCCTATCTATGAAATAGATGCCCATTAGCAGGCACTAAGGTTTCATTATAAAGAGCACGACTTACTCTTTCATACAAAAATAAAAGCAGTCAAATCGATTGGAAAAATCAGAAGTTATGATTTTTTAATAATGGTGCGAACGAACTGGATGTATGTCAAGAGGCGCCATTTTTATTGTCAGCTGGGCAGCAAATAGCGCATAATAAGTGTTCTGCAACTTTCTAAAAGTATATGAACTTTAGAGGAAGATATATTAGATAGTTGCAAAGGTTGTTCAATCTTGATACTTTAGAAAAAAATTCAAAACAGCAATTTTGAAGGTCAAAAACCCATGAAAATGCATTTCGGAACAAATTTGCAAATATTTCAGTCCGATTTGAAGAAAAACCCATGAAACTCAGCAAGTGGTGACCTCAGACAGATAGTAAGCTTTCGGTTCAACCTAATATTGATTTTACGAAAGCTTGCAAGTTTTCATTTTCTCCATTTCTAGCAAAAGAAATACAGCAATTGTATGTATGTATGAAGGTCTGATATGGGTATTGTATGTTGGAATAAGTTGGAATTTAGGATTTTTATTTTGGACGATTTTTTCTCATTCTTGGGTATTTGAATTAAGTTTTTCTTGTTGGATCGTTGACACTTAACGAACTGAATGGTGCTCATGGTGGTTAATCTGATGTCGCTCTTTGGCACAAAATGAGCACTTTTTCTATTATATGTTTTTGCTAATCTTAAGTCATGCAAGCTTGCAAGCTGAAAAAGGATTCACAAATCAGAAGTTAGAATTATTATAGAAAAATTTCGTTTCCAACAGCTGCTGGATCTTAATAGCTTGATATATTTTACAAAAGCCTTAGTCGAAATAATTATTACCGATCAAGTCAGGTTGGATGTCTTCGTACTTTACAATAAGGATATGCGTAACACCGTATTAAATAGCACATCCAAGACAACACCAGATTTTTTGCTATAACCAATTTTACCTCTTCTTCTTAGCCAACGGCGATTTCCTCTAAAATTAGCATAAAGAACTGCTAGCGTTTTGCAGTCACCTTTGGATACCTTATTCTTTCGAAAATGAACTACAGTCAGTGCTGGACAAAATTATAGGTCCACTCTAAAAAGTGCCATAACTCACTCTGTTGTCAATAAAATATTTCAAAATTTGGTACAGTCGTATGTTTACCAGCCTACTATCAGTCATCAAAACGGGTTTCGTTTTCGTTTGGTTATTCAAGAAAAATTGAAGATTTAGAAAAAAGCAGGCTTGAAGGCTGGACAAGATTGTAGGTCGTTCTGGAGTCGGTCTGGAGTTTTTACTGATCAAAGCACTTCTTAGTTCCCGAACTTCTTTAGATAGGCACACATCTAAAAACTTTAAACAGCTGCTCTGGTCAAGCTGTGTCATACCTCCAAAAAGAATCGATTATCTGCTTTTTTGCCTTGAAAATGCTTTCACATGTATTTCGCTCCGCAAATCTGCGTTGAGTAAGAAATTATGCAGTTTCTCAGCTGGATCGGAAGGCACGGAGTTTTATCTACCTTCTGGATGCTTTTTGACCTGAGTGTTGAGGAAAAAATCCGACTTTTTGGTGCTGAAGCAAATCCGACATCGACTCATTCGGGAGAGTAAGCATCAGATCTGCCCTAGAACCCTTCATGCACTGCCATTATGACCTCAAGATATTGTAGAAGCATTCTTTACACAAGAATAAAGCTGTTCGCCATACTCGCAAGTGTTCACATAGCTGCCTGCTTCTTTTTCGAAACATGAGTTGTGTGTGCAACGTAATGATGCTGTTAGCAGATCCAAAATAGCTTGCCAAGCTACCTCACTTAGATTTTTGACAGTAATTATTTACTAGGTAGTGGATACAGCTTGTAGTGTATGTTAGCACATGATTGTTCTGAAAATTTTGGTCGGAGCCACAAATAGCTTTGTGCTTGTCTAATCAGTTTCTGCAGGGTGATTTCAGTAATTATACTCGAATGCTAGGATCCTTAGAAAGTTGTAACCATGGAATACGGACTTCCCTTCGTAGAAACAATGCCTTTACTTTACTTAATGCTTCTGAGAACATTGTAAAAGAAGTTTGAAGGCAGAAATTTGAGCTCAGGATTGCAGTATTGTCAATGTCGGATTTGCTTCAGCACCAAAAAGTCGGATTTTTTCCTCAACGCTCAGGTCAAGAAGCATCCAGAAGGTAGATAAAACCCCGTACCTTCCGATCCAGCTGAGAAACTGCAGAATTTCTTACTCCACGCAGGTTTGTGGAGCGAAATACATGTGAAAGCATTTTCAAGGCAAAAAAGCAGATAATCAGTTCTTTTTGAAGGTATGACACAGCTTCTAAAGCAACTGTTTAACTTTTTTAGATGTGTACCTATCTAAAAAAATTCGGGAGCTAAGAGGTGCTTTGATCAGTAAAAACCTATAGTTTTGTCCAGCCTTCAAACTTGCTTTTTTCGAAATTTTCATAACCGAACGAAAACGAGACCCATTTTGATGAGTGATGGTAGGCTGGTAAACACACGGCTGTACCAAATTTTGGAACATTTTATTGACAACAGCGCGAGTTATGGCACTTTTTAGAGTGGACCTATAATTTTGTCCAGCACTGTAGCTGCAGTTATTTGCAGTTCACTTTGTAACCCAAACCAGGATGCATTGCAGGCAGGAAAGCAAATATCCATTGCTGCTCGTTACAGGCTATTAGAAATGCGTTTTAAGACGCGAACCAAACGACATCTTTATTGGAAAAATTCAAATTTTATTTATACATAGGATGAAAGAGCATGCGCCTGACATTGCAAACTTCAACATGAATCTATTCTCGGTCAACTTTCTGCTGCTTTCGATTTTGATAACTAGTGGAGCAAAGCTAGTGGAGCAAAGCCAATTAGCTAGTGAAGTAAAGCCGAAGATTCGCATCCTATACGAAGTTAATTGTAAAAAAGACCAATCGTCATGTGATCGTCTATGTAAAGCTTTGGTAAGGAGATATCAAAATTGCCAATTTCAATTTCAAGAAAACTTAGAAAACAGCTTAGAATTCCAAAGTTTTTCAAGTGGCGCGGCGGGTAATTCCATAAAAGAATTTTTTGAAGTGTTCCTCACGTTTCGAAGTGTAATTTTGAAAACTGAACAGAAAGGAATTTTGAAGACGCTTTTGAAAAAAAAACTTTACAGAGCTAAATTCGTTGTTAGAAGAAGTTAAAAAAATTATTGTAATTTTTACAGAAGAACCATTTGTTTGCAAAGTTCAATAGCAGTTGAAAACCGCCTTGAAAAAGCTTCTATTCCATGTGCTATTGGTTCGAGACTGGAAAAAAGTGGAAGTAAAAGCCTTTTCTGCTACTCCACTCCAATTAGAGAAAGCCACCTCAAATAAATGCAAGTTGCCAGTTTGCAATAAACAATGAATCTTCCATCCTCCTAGTCAGAACGTTGAGTCTTTTATCCTAGTAATTTTTCTAACGTCTCTATGTCAAGCCATCCAAAATTTAGCAGCCTTCCTGTGTTGCCTCTTCCCTTTTTTATAACTAAATGAAAGGAGCTAACTTCTGGCTCTAAAGCAATACGCAGCATGCCAGAGGAAAATCTCCCTTTGATTTCACAATTCTAAGTTAGGTTATAAGTAAAACTTGAACTGTGTTTCTAAGCATATGATGTGCTATCTCTGTTATTTTAGGGATTTGATTTTGGAAAATGTCACTTCATCGAGAAGATAAGGAAAACGACTTGCATATGCGTAGGGATCTTTTCAACGCGAAGATAAGGAAAACGGCTTGCATATGCGTAGAGTGAACTGTGTCTTTGCTTTCAAGACTACTCACGTCGAATGTTCTCTACTTCGTGCATGTTTTCTTCAATACATAACTTCAAAATAAATGTTGTTATACCGAAATCTTTTCTTCAATCAAAGTTTGCGGCATTGAAACGGGAGCAGTACCAAATGCACCTCCTTCACCCTTCGGTGCAAAAATTGAGGTACTGTATTAATTTTAGGCTATATACTTTCCATAAGTCTTCTACGCAAGCATCTACTTGAATTCGTTCGATGAAGCGATTTCAATACTTTTCACATTATGATTTCTCGCTCCCGTTCACGCAATCGTGTCCAGATTTTCAGTAAGCGAGTACACTTGCTTTCACTTAAAATTCCAAAATTTGTTCCATAAGCACTGCAAAAGAAATTTTTTTGTAGTACATCGTAGCCAAATGCCTGCTCTATCATACTGCACATCTCCCTGGTGAAAGAAACACTTATCGTGAAGGCATGGGACGAAATTCATCACGACTGTCTGCGTGCCACGACAGGTGGACTCGCCAAAACTTCAAAGGGCTGCCTTGAAGCCAGAAGAGGCATACTCAAAATCTGAGAGCAGCGCAAATTATATTGTATTTGCAAAGGTTCGATTTATGTATGCACACTTTTTGCTTCTAGCTACTTTTCCTCTGATTTTGTCTGAGAATGTATTAGGCTTCCAGACTATTGCCCCACCCTATATTCAATAATATATCAATATCTTATCAATAATATATTAATAATAATATCCATGACAAAAACTCAAAGAAAAATCACTGCAAAATTAGAACTGCGCAACAACTACTGGGTTGATGCACGCAAAAATCTTGTCAGTTTTTTGAGCCACAAATCTGTTGAGTAAAGATAAATTGAACTCTAAGCTGTATCGAATGCAAAATCGCTTCCTCTTTCATGCAGCTATGTTCGTGATGCAAAGAATGTGAAGAGTGCGGAGAGCAGTAATGGCCAATGGTAAAGCCCAGTCAGTCAGGTAATTCAAGTTGATCTTCTCAGAATAATTTCGACTTAAACTTACGACCGCCCACCTTCCCTCGCTTTCAAATAACAAGTCGTAGTCAGAAAGCAGTCCGCTTAGAGCGGTCAATTCAACCTGCTGCGTATGAGTTGATGTTATGTCGTAAGTTGAACTCGGGATTGTGTGCAAAAGCAGAACATCAAACAAAGTAGCGCAAGCTGCCCTAGGAGTGACTTACGGACAAACAGCACACTTTGATTTGCCATAAAAATGCGTAACATTGCACATTCTCGTGGACCATAGAGCAGGAGGATATGAACAGCTGATGAGCAAAAAATCAAGAAAGTCAGTTTTTCTCTTTTTTGTTCAAAGTACGTTCCTCAATTGATTAATCGCTCAAGGTAAACAATGTTTTTTATCTATTTTAAGTTGGACTTGATTCTAGATTGATGGAAGCTAGAATATTGTTATCTTTTTATCTTCTGTTGAATCACAATCTTGACTTTGCTATCACCAATTTTTACAAATTGACCGCTATCAAGATCACTGGCGCAGATCAAACTATGACTCGCTCGCTCGTAACGCATTATTGTATGGTACTGGCTGAACCAGCACAAACGAATTTTTGAGAAAGCACACGATTATACTTGATTAAGGATTATGGATCGCCACAATAGAAGCAAAATCGGCCTAGAAAATTAGCATGTAGGTGCAAAATCGAGCTGAAAAATCATTGAACAGAACTAAGAGGGAAGATCATCTGGACAGGGCAACATCAAGATAGAAAAATCACCAAGATAAGAGCAAATTCAACACATTGACGACCATGCAGATTTTTAGTTGCCTGCCTTTTGGGACCAAAGCCTTTTTACGGACCAGCCCACTTTCTCAACTATAATTGCGCATACTGCCATCTACAGCACACTTACAGTAGATCTGAAATGCTGAGAAAAAAAGGTGTGGAAGTCATCCCTAGATTTTGTGCAAAAGAAAGCTCACGGAGTGAGTTTATTTCAGGATAGTAGTCATTTTACCAAAATTCAAGCCTTGACACACATGGTGTGTCAAGCGGTCCCACGCGGTAGTCATCGCTTGACACACCATGTGTGTCAAGCAATCGTCAATGTGTTAAATTCGAGTCATTAGAAGGGCAAAAGCAAGGTGGAGAATACCACTAGGCTATGCGCAAGTCAATCATGACTTAAGACATGGCTGAACTTATATCCCTATCCACGGCGTGGTGGGGTTGCTTCAGAGCTGTATGTGGCAAGAATAAAATGATAGAAGCAAAAAAGGCGTGGGTGATTAATAAGCTGTCAAGCAGACGTTTCGTCTACTTTCTTATGGTAATTATAACGGACCAAACATTTGTGCGTTTTATTAGCTTTGGAGTTAACAACGACCGACAAAGAAGAAAGTCAGATTCTCAGAAAATTTAAGCTTTCTTTAGACAATCAGCACTCAACTGTATCCCGGGCAAGACCTAGAATTTGAACCTGCCTTAAGATAATTATTTTCTTCAAGATAAACTATACTATACTAAGAACCTAACACGCGTATAGGCTATTCATCGCACGCAGAGGATAGACGCTGTAGCGTCCGAAAAAGTTCATGCTTCGCAGGAACGCCGGCAGTTAAAGAAATGTGAGTTTGATTTTAGAGAAGTCTTTCGCAGTAGCGTCTTGTCGCGCGATGGATCTAAAGTTCAATGTCTGTTTGTACGTCTGTCTGTCTGTCCGTCTGTACGTAGTTCCGAATAGAAAATTCCATTTCTGAACCGACCCGGACCAAATCTGGCACATATACACTTCGGGGCGGAGCGTATGTCGCAGACTACTTTTCGTTATCAATCAATATATCCATTTTATCGTTTGTTGTTGTTTTTTTTTTGCAAATTATGAGCCATGGAGCTGGGAATGCGCACATTACGAATACAATATTAATTTTTGGAATTATCCTTTATTTTTACAGATTTTATCGATTTTTTGCAAACTTCGACCCACGGGGCTGGGAGTTGGCACAGGAGGGTAATCGAGCACGTTAATTACGAACATAATATTAGTTTCTGAATCGATTAGTTTTATCGATCGATTTCTTTGCATAGTTTGAGCTACGGGGCTGAGAGTTGGCACAGGGTGTAATTGAGCATGCTGATTACTAACACAGCGGAAATAGGGGATGAGCATGTAGAAATGGTCCTAAGAAATGTAGTGCAGGGATAGGGAGCTTTATCATAGTGTTTTGACAGGACTGGGCGGAGCCGGGTAAACCAGCTAGTCGTCTATAAAATAAACGTAGAAGAAACAAGAGCGTTGACTTTTGGCTGAAAAAATCTAAGTGGCTAGTGAACAGCAGGTGGAGGCAAACTACGCCCTCGCTATCTCTGATCTCCCACAAACCTGAATAAGCACCATCACACTCAAACTTAGTAGCAGAACTTAGTATCTTTTGTGGAAGTATCTCTTGTGGACAATGTCATTTGTAGCTTGAAACGCGCAGTTGAACAATACGCGCGGTACTCTACAACATACATATAAGAGCTCAAAAACTGTAATTTTCCAAATTACGAGGGATTTGCAAGATTGGCCATAACTTCCCGAGAAAGGTTCTTGGAGATTTGCGCGCAGAATTTAGCTTCGCTGATTACAACTGGGTTGGCACAGTTTTGCAGCTTCTGCCATAACTTTTTTCTTCTTGATTGTAGCTTTATTTTAGTATCATGTAACTTGCAAAGATTTTAGACTACTTGGCCGTTGATTTTTGATATCATGACAAATAAATTTGAGTATTTCTCAAAAGCTGGAGAAATCTTGCGGGTTTTATTCAAATGAAGTGCGGAACCAGAGACGTATAAAAACGAAGTTGTAGGCAGCTTTTTTGAAGTTCGTCTTATTGAACTCAGTAAAAAATGAATGTTGAAACAAATTGAGCTTTGAGAGGTTAAACAAGTCGAATCGGTAGATTTGAAGCGACATCAACTAACAACACAACAAGAAAACCTCAAAATTTACTGAGACTTCGCACAGTGGGGTAATTTGACATGCTAAAAAATGAAACCTCGATTTTACGAAAGAAGGCCTTTGACATATTGACGACAGCGTGACCCACATGGTGGGTCATGGCTTAAAATTCGTCAAGGTGAATACAATCTTGAGGTAAATTCGTTTCAGAAGTTCTCTTACGCTCTGATTCTATGGGTTACTACCGCATTTCTTTTCTGCTCCTTAAAATTAACGTAGATTTACTTTAGACGACGATCTGCTTAATTTTAGCTGAAAATTTTCAACTTTATCGCGGAAGGCATTGTCCCTAAGGCAGATAACTAAAAATGCGCGTTGTCGTCAGCGTGTTAATGTCGTAGCGCTTTCACTTTGTAATCGGCATGTCGGAACTCCTCCCTCCCCCCCCCCCCTCCCTCCCGACCAAGTTCCAGCAAAGTGGAGCCATCTAGAATACTCCCCTTTTACAACCTACCATGACCATTACACGCACGGCAGTCTGGAATATGCCTGTATTACTTACATCATAATTTTATAACAACGAGAATGAGAGCGCAACATACAAGAAGACAAAATTTATTCCAAAAGGTGCAATACTTGTCCATCAACGGATATTGGTAGCCTCCAGACCACACCGGTTGCCGCTTTTGCAGCCGAAGCGCGCTAGGTCAGATTTTGCCTATGTGACGCGTAGGGGGTCTGTTTCGTGACATTTGCAGGGTTTTTCAATCTTTCTGTCGGTATTCTTTCGCTCTAAAGGTTATGGCTATGTTGTAATAAACATCTCCGTTGCAGATGTGTTCATTCTATCTGCTTCGTTTTTTCGCAGTCCTGCGAAACCGGAGTGCTCGAGTCATTGTCAAAGGTTTGCTTATAGTCTACATCCCGCCACGGAAAAATTCTGGAGTGGTAGTAATTTGGTCGAAACCATCAAATGATGTGATGGTTTAATCATGGTTACATCGTGGTAAGCATGATCATCTTTTCACGGCCACTCAGTTCAATCGGTCATACAAAATTATGAAACAAGCAAGTAACTAGCAGAAAACCATGAGTGTTTCATGCTTGTTTCATTCTAAACCAAACCATGAGTTAAACAGCAGGTTAACATCATTGTTTCCTTA